AAAAATAAATTAGGTACTTTTAGTACTTATTAAATCTAATTATTAATAATATTCTTTATTATTAGTTGAATTTGTTTATTTTACAATAACACATTTGTTGTATTTATTTTATTCATTTATCATTTTTTTTTTTTTTTTAAGGAATTCACGTGATGTAATGTTCATTTAAGTCCAAAAGGTCAAGTACTCATTATTTATCGACACTAGTTTCGTTATTAAACTATAAATACAAAATTCACGTAAAATTATAGAGCTTAAGTTATTATATTACTATAAAATTACCTATACTATTACATTAATCAATTTTAATTTTCATATAGGATCGCAAATGGGGTATGTTAGGGTGTAAATGTCTGTCAAGCGAATTCTCAAATAAAATTTCTCTACCCTATTTAAACATCTTTAAAATTCAAAACTCACAATTAATTAAATATATTTATATGTATGTGAATGATTCGAAAATAAAAATAAATAGTAATTTTTGGGTTTTTGATTAAGTTCATATTGTTAACACATAATTTTGTCGTAATCGTAATATTATAATAAGTGAATATTTTATTAATACTGTACAATTAAAAGTAATTATTATCTGATTTCACTTTTAGTGCACGTATAAATACCGTATGTACCAAAGCCTACAAAAATGTATGTGTTGTTAAACGTAATGGTGAACAGTTTGAAAATATACATTTTTAAAAACACTGCACTACGCATTGGTTTGATGGGTAAAACACGATTGTGTACGTTTGTCAATGTGTAACAAAAATGTGGGTAAAAAAATTAAATAAACACGATTGCATATGAAATTGTATGTAACGTTGACAAATTTACTAATTTCCTAATTTCACCGTATTATATCTAATAAATATACATATACATACAACAGTTTTATAATAGTTCATAAAAAAATTAATGATAAAAAATAAATAAAATGAAGATAATTAAATAAAAAAAAATTAATTAATAAATAAATAAAATCGACAGTTTTTATTTGAATGAAATTGTTGTAAATAAATTATTTGAAAATGCTTAAATTTGGATTCCTTGACATCTATAATCTATTCATTTTACTGATGTATATTTTGAGTTCTAACCTTTGTACGGTTTTACCAACGTTCCCGAATTATTGTGAATATATATATATATAAATATTATACTAAATACATAATAAATAAATAATTAACTTTTAATAATCTATATGTAATGAACATATCTTTTGAGTTGTCATGCATTCAGAAGATATTTAATATTTATTGAAGTAATCGTTGTTCATACTGATTAGAAATCTGGCGATTTGACCAGATTTATTAAACGATTTAAAATACAACTGTATAAACGTTAAAACGCTAATGCTATTAAATGTATGTGTGAAAATCAAAAAATCTGCAAATCTACAGGTTATAATATTTACTAATTAGCGTTTATCGATGTACTCGGATGTATTTCGTTTACCGAGAGGAATACGCGTTATAAAGGATTTTCTGGGAAAAACAAACGTTTAAAAGAAAAAAAAAAGGAAAGGCACACTCGAACCCGTTAAAGGATCGTGAGTATATTATTTTGACATATTTTTGTGTTCTTGTCGTTGAGATTACTGAATAAAGGAATTGCGGCGTGATCGGTGTTGCGTGTACATTTATACGGCCGCACGAACGCGAGTGGGCGAGTAAACGGTCCAGAACATCAGTATAAGCACCCGTGCGCGCGCGTACGTGTGGGCACGTGAAACAAATAAGCGTCTGGAACGAGTGCGGTTCGAGCGGAAGTTGAAAAGGGACGTGCGGCTTGAAAATCGCGCGCGGACCTAACCGGAAAACGAACGCGGCCGTCGTTAAACGATTTGTAGCCATAGCGACGTCGTCGGTCACGTTAGCGGCGCGGGCGGGCGTAACGTTCTGAACGCCGTTGCCGGCCGTGCGCGTAGGTACGCGCGCGACGTTTAATAATGTCATTAGACGCGTCTATTATAGACGCGATCGTCGTCCGTTTACCCCGTCGGCCCCCCGGCCTTGCTCATCGACCAGCGCGGTCCAGTGACCGTTGCACGTCCACACCGCGTGGGCGTCGCGACACGTGGGCCCCTGTGTTGCGGTGCTAACCGGAGCTGACTCGGACCGAACGTCCGACATTTCGATTAGTTTACAATGACACGCACAATTATTGTTGCACGGGTATGCTTTTCGCCGGGAAACTCTACGCTGTCACCGTGTGTTCGAATGAGGGTTTGGTAAAAAAATTTTACGAACGTAATAGTCCAGTCGACGATGTCTGTTTTTCACCTGGAAAGTATTCCGAAGTTAATGACATTTTTACTAGTTGTCTAGGAGTGCTCTAAAATATTTATCCCGAGTTTTCAGCCTCGAGGACCTCTCGCTTACTTAGGGGAGGTGCAAAACTCTCAAAATTGTCAGATTTTTTTTCAGTTTTTCTTCTATATCTCGTAAACTAATCATATTTTGTGTCCAATATGCAGTTAAAAAGTTGTAGACCATTAAGTTTGCTAAAATTTAGTTGGTTATACAATTTTTTGGATCAACAATTAACCGAGGTACAGCCGATCAAAGTTGGACAATAATTCTCAATAAAAAAAAAAATAGCCGAAAAACGAAGGTTTTAGTGTTATAACTATTTAATACAATCTTTCAGTATTAATTAAGTCAATCACTCATCAATGTCAACATGTAGGAACACCTATGACACTCCTTCCCCTACCTTCCCCTTGACCAACGTGAAGATGCCCTATTTTAATATATGGAATGTGAATTTATTTACAAAAAAGCAAAATTAAGGTAATTTCAGTTGTTATGTATATACGTAAAAATAATTTAAAACTATTAATACACACTAAGGTTTTAAACCTTTAAAACTATATTAAATGATATTTAGGTACCATATAATAATCTAAATTATAGGTAACTCATTAGCGCAGCGCGTTGTCATTTAACAACAGAGATAGTCAATACAACAATTTTTAGGAATTTCTAGTAAATTACGTTTACCGCGATAATGACGATTTATGTAGCTAATAAAATACAATAATAAAATATAATTATAACAATAATAATACACAATAATACGGGTATATCACATACCACTGTCGATATTATATCATGGTTCGCTATTACAAGTTATTATACTGTTTTATTTGTACTGTTGACGCTGTCCATGCAACTTGAAAATCGCTTTTCAGTAAGTAATATTTTACCATATTATATTAAATGCATTTTTCATATATATTTTAGAGGGTATGAACACCGATTTAGTACCTAGCAGTAAACTCAAAATATCACCAAAAATGCATTTACCATTTTTAAAAATTGACCAGGTCGTCTTCAGAAAAAAGGAAAACCTATTCCTAACATTGACCAAGCAGTGAAAAACATAAATATATTTCTCGAGAACACCAAGGAAGAATGCCAGTTTTCTCTTAGACAGTTGATAGATGAGATTCAAGAGGATATCCATCTTCACATAAAAACAGTGAAGAAGCGTCTGGAGGACAAGTATGAAGATGATATTATCATATCTTAGTCAGCTAATGGAGAGAGTCTTGTATGTTTCAAAAATATTGGCCATAAAATCTTGACGGATAACTGGTACTTGAATGAGAAGATGTTGGATCCACAAAACGAACGTGCTCGAATTTTAGAAACAGCTGGGAAAATTATTTTACAGGATATCCGTTCAAAAACGTTCAACACTACTTTCTACCTTCCGATTGATAATTTTCATGCTAGTGCCTATAATTTCATCCCGAATACACTGCTTCTTCTGTTACATATAATTATTTTGACGAACAAACAGGGTTCATTTGAGATGTGGAAGAAGAAATGTCTTGCATTTTCACATACCATAATAGTAGCCGTTTGACCAAAATCATTCTTGTCATCAATTATGATTGGAGTTTCAATATATTCTTACAAAAAGTTTGGATCAAAACTTCTTCTAATTCTCCTTGCTACCTTGGGATTTTCAGTCACCTATGATGAAACTTATAGGCTTGAAGGATCGTATATTATGCAAGCAAAGGAAGCTGTAGTTGACGGCTCAGTCAATCCATTCAGCCAATTCATATTTGACAACACAGACTTCAACGTAAATACACTGGATGGACATGCAACGTTCTATGCAATGAAAGGAATAATGGCTGTCACCCACCCCTCGAAATGCTGTTACCAGTGATCAAGATGTTCTTCGCCTGAATGTTAAATTATTGTCCCGTAAAATTTGTAAAGAAGGTGCCATTGAATGTAAAGAGTTCCACCGTCCATCAAATTTTGGCCTGAAAACTAGAAATTATTGACATAAACATCAACCTTCAAGATGACATTTATTTTCAAAAATTTTAAAATTCATAATTAATCAATGGTTACACTTTAAAAAGATATTTTAAAACTTTACTTTTTCTAAAAACGCGATTTACAACATTTGATTATTTTCAAACTAAACAAAAATTTTTAAATTTGAGTTCCAAATATTAAATAAATCTTTTAGTATGATATTGTTGTAGCGCAGGACTTAAGTATTTAGAAAAAAATAAATAAATTAAAATAATAAACAGAACGAAAGTTATTCCAGTAACGTAAGTCCATTTTTTTTTTAAGGCCTCCGATTAGAAATTACACTCTCATTTCCTTGAACTTACATCCGGCATGTATTACCTGGTCACCGCTGATCACGTTACCTATTCAAGCTCTTATAGATTATGGTTCCGATATAGGATTGATTCGATGTGAAGAAAAATAAAAAAAAAATACCATCATTGTCTCTGTGACGAAAACATAAATGCAAAAAAATCGTGTGCATCACGTGTATGTTAAGGAGACCACCACTTGAACAAATTGTCGACTGTAAATGTAACGGAAATCATCACGCCATCCGGATGATGTCATGTGCGTGTCATTTTGATTATAAGACTTACATATATTACTTGATTGTATTATAAGAACACACCAGGTACGTAAGACAATTGTTATCACGAAACATTGGAAATACACGGATAAACTATTACGTATAAATCTTTATTAACAACCGACACAAAGCGTCTTACGAACTCTTCAAATATTTTAACTAATTACTACGTAAACCATAAGAATATGCGTGTAGGATTATAGTACAATATAATATGATAATATATACGTAAGACGATTCCTAACCTATTAATCTACGAGTAAAAAACATACAACAACAACAATAATAATGATGTACACATGAATATAAATGATAAAGTAAGATATTAATATTACTTTACGGGTGCGTACATGTGTGTATAAAATATAAAATAACATAATGTGTGATTAAAATAGTAACGCCAGCTATCGCTGCTTTTGACTAGTTTCGATTTTACTGTGATGAGTATAAATATATATGTACAGTAAATATATATAAATGTAATAGTGTAAGATATACGAGTGAATAAAGGTAGGTTATTCAAACAGATTCGTATGACGAATGGATCCACGACCGACGTGATAGTTAAGATGCCTAATTACTTCTATGCCGTCGAATCGATGATCATTGGGATATCGATCGATAGAGTAATATTCCATTATCGTTTCACCGGGTAAACATTATGTGGGTCGTACGAAAACGCCGTCCGGTAGTCGAACGAATCCGTGACACGTCCGTGCATCACGGCCACACGGACCGGTGGCCGGCCGGCCAACACGTGTACACATCAGTCGACGGACACAGAGATCTTGGTGTATGTCTGCCACACCTGGATGTCCACGTCGTCGCGGAAACGGGTGGTGAGCGTCCGCTGCCAGTCGCCGTCGGCCGGCTGGTTGTCCAGGTGGTCTTGGAACGAGAGCCGCTCGAACTCGAGCCGGAACACTCGGAGCTGCGGTAGGGACGCGGCGCCCGCGGCCGCGTTCACGTAGTCCGCGTTCAGCGGTAGTGTCAGGTGCAATTCCTGCAACCGTTCGCAACCGGTCAACATGTCCAGCACGCCGGCCGCCGTTGTCTTATCGCATTCGGTCAGGTCCAATCGGAGCCGGTGCAGCTGCCGCAGTTCACCCACCCTGCGCAGCACATCGTCCGTTACATACGGGCACTCGCTCAGGCCCAGTGTTTGCAGTCCGTTGGCTTTCTGGAGACCTGCAGGGCACACGCAACTGGGATGAGAAAAATAAACAAATTAAACAATCAACAGTGGACATTATCTGCCCCGTCAGACTGTCAAAACCGTTTTACGAACGACGAGAGAAGGGAGAGAGAAAGTAGAAGTAAAACTGTGGCGCAAACGATGGTCGTTTATCGGAAAGCGCAGTAAGGGAAACGTGTTGACGGGTATACGACGAGTTTCTCTACATGGACGTTAGACATAGGAGCAATTAGAGCTAAAATATTGGGGATGCTGAAATTGCTGAAAATAAAATTAAATGGTATTTAATTGTAATTACTATAGATTATATAATTCTGTAAAAACAGGAGTGCTAAATTTGAACTCAGGGGTGCTAAAAATCCTATTACACCCCCTAGTTGTGCTTATTGTTATGTGTTACTTGTTTAATTGTTTTGATTTTTTAAAATTTGTTTAAAGTTTTTACGTTCACACACGAACTATACGTAGAGTTTACATAAATTCCAATATAAGTATAATTATAAATACATTTAATGTATTTTATAATACGTGATATATTGCAGTAGAATAAAATATATATTATACTCGTGTTGAATATTTATATAATATCATTGATTTTATAATATACACATTTTATAATTAAATTTGGTAGTGCCTACATGGACGCAAGTGCTGGACGTCGCTGTAGTAATCGTATGCGTTCAACTTGATAAAAAAATGGGTTTTCAACAATAGAAAACTACTCTATATTATAATAGATTATCAAAAATAATAATAATTAACTAATAATAGTAAGTATTATTAGTACTAATATTAATAAAACTAAATATAGTTAACTGTTGTACTGTTAACTTACTACTGTATTGTTAAGCCTCTGATTTTATAAAATTGAACACAAACAATTGCATCAACGTTTAATGGCTGTATCCACGTGGTTGCTACTAATGTTGCTAATATAACAACGTATCTATTATATATATAAATTATCTATATGTCTCTCATTAGCAATATTCGTGAAAATCGACTGTTGTAAAATAATATTATAATAATATTTTTGTATAATTATGCAATCTGATAAGACGCTCGAGTTCAAATAAAATTAATAACATTATAAAGACTAGACTGCTAATTTCGTGATTACGTGGAGTATTAAATTTGGGTATCAAAAACGAAATTTAATGTAGGTAAATATTATAGCCGCGATTATCAGGTCATTTCCGTGAGGTGTAATCAATACGGTATCAATTAAAAAGAGTGATAATAAGCAGGTTTCAAGGCCAACTCATACGTTACGCAATATCTAGAGTTTTATCACTCTTGTGTCGCCAATCTGTTTATTCACGCGTTATTATTTCGTTGCTATGTGTACGAACATATTTTAAACGGTATCGCTTATATCAAATACAAAAACGACATCAATATTGTGCGCGTTGAAATCATTTGCAATTATTTACCATACATAGAACGATATCGGACATTCTGACGTCAATCGCTTATTGATGATCCACTTCTGATTTTAAATACATTAATGTATGCGTACACGTACTTATAATTACATGCATACGCACACACGCACACACATACTAGTGTACGCGTGTGCGCATACACGTACGCAAAAACTGCATGGGAAATATCTCTCCGTGTATTCAACTCGATCGCACATAGTATTGCGACGACAATAAAATAAAATTAAATCAAATTTCACTAACTCAAATCAGTTACAAATCTATGGTACCCGCAAGAGTGATTGATCAGAAACATTTTTTGAATTCGTAGGCGCTAGTTGGTACCAGTGTTTGGGTAGTGTCAAAACGGAAATTAACGCCGTTACTTTTATAATAATGCGTTACGCAATTTTAATACAACATTTACCGTTTAACGAAAACCTAACGGATACCATTTTATGTAAGGAATTTATCTAATACGATGCGATAATAGGTATTCAAAATCCAACAAACTTTTCTACAAAAATATACCGGTTCCCTTAGATATTTAGATATATATAAATAAAATATTATACTAATAAATGTTATGTACAATTTTTTTTTTTTTTTAAACTGTAACTTGAAAGTAACATAGTTAGTTTTTCTGTCGAAAAGGAAATTAATATCATTACGATTTTATTTGAATGATGAGTAATGAATAAAGTAACTTATTACATATTTAAATTAACTAACCCAACACTGGTAGGTACATAGGAAGCATGCGATTTAATTTGTATATTTATCCGCGACTGATAATATAATATTATTCTCAAAACGAAGAAAGGCTGGTTTTATAGTATATGAATAATTGATATAATATTATCACGTCTACTAATAAATCCGAAAAGGTTGTGTTCGTACTCGAAGCAAAATATAATAAATGGGGGTATAATAAAATCCCACTATTCGCACGCCACAACTCCTAAAATTCTGGTGCATTTAAACGGATTACGTTATACCCGCACAATTAAAACAACGGTTTAGGGCAATTACCTACTTAAAATGTATTAGGGCAACATGAAATGAAGATAAAAATATTATGTTTACCTACGAAATAACAAAATATGATTTTTAATAATTAATTAATTTCAACGGATTCAAATGGACAACATTTTTACGGCGAAACGAAACGAACGACGCATTCCGAATGAAAATCGTAATGTATTTTGTGAATCTCACCATTTGAGAAACTAATCTTTTCTAACCGAAAATCTACTGCGAGTGTTTTTGTGAATTCCGTCATCCATACTATACTAACATTATTGCTTCTAAGGAGTATAATGAAAAACGGTTGTTAAAACGCGTCACGATGTTCTGAAATCACTCGCCCCGACGCGTTATGCTGGACCGTGTGAATATTTTGCAACGTTCAAAAACTCACCCCGACCGAACCCGTCGGGGACGCGCGCGCGATTAATATTCGAACCGTTACCACTCACCGTTGAGCAGACCGTCTGAAGTGACGTTAACCATGCCGTCCATGTCCAGGTGTTGGAGGGTCGGCATGCCGGCCACGGCCTCGAAGCCCTCGTCGTCCACTTGTCGCGCGGCCCTCATGCTCAGCTTACGCAGCTGCCGGCAAGCGGTCACCAGCCGTCGGTACGCGGACGCGCCGAGCCCGGAACAATCGGCAGCGATCAGCGCCAGCAGGTCCTCGGGCAGTTCCGCGTTGACGGCGGCCGCGGCCTCAGCGGCCGCCGCGTCCAGTTCCTCGTCGTCGTTGGCCGCCGTGGCCAGGGAGGACATCGGGTAGACGGCGTACGAGCGGGGTGCGGGCCGGCGGACCGTCACACGGAACTCGGCCAGCAGACCGGCGCACGTGCACTCGACCACATCCAACAGATCGAGCACTTGCGCGTCGTCGGCCCGGTCGTGCGAGCACCGGAGCACTGGTGGCCACTCGTCGTGGCCGCCGGCCTCGAGTGTGGCCGACACCACGTCAGCCACATCGTCGGCGGCCATCAGCACGTTGCTGAAGCACAACCGTTTGGCGCGCACGCTGCGCAACAGCCGCCGCAGGCCACCGGACATCAGGTCACCGTAGGCCACGGGTTTCGCGTAGCCCACGTGCAACACCTCCAACGGCACCGGTCGGCCGTCGCCCTCGCCACCGTGCCGGTCGTCGCGGTCGTCGGTGTCCTCTTCGTCGCTGTCGTCCGCCCGCTCAAAGATGCTGCCATCCCGGTGCGGCCAGAACTGTCGCGGCACGTCCCGGTCGAAGTCGAACACGTCCACCAGGTACAGCGACGTCACGTTGCGCACGTCGTACGTCCGCGTCACCGTGGCCGCCGTGTCCTGGCCGCCGCGCATCAACAGCGCGCCCTCCGACAGATACATGTGGTGCTGCGCGACCCGGTGCAACCGATCAGTGGTCGCGGACGCCTGCAGCAGGTCGTCGGTGGACTGCTTCCGGAATATGAAACGGATCATTTCCGGCGGTAACCGGTCGAACACGCACTTCGAACACGATCTGTGAACACGTCCGTAACACGATACCGTTAACGGTTTAATAAACATTCAACAATATTTTTAAAAAGCCAAATAAATTAGACATGCATTGTTTTCAATCTCTTTTACGACCCGAAACGGATGCGAAAAACAAGTAATTCTTAGTGTGCACCATTTCCGTCGTAGACCGTATGCTTTTTTTATGGACTGTTCAGATAAAATGGCTTTGTTCTTAATTATATCGTGACCGGAGTTACTCATTAGTGCCGCATTAACTTAGTTAATTATGAGCAGGTTTTGGGTCTTACACCGATTGCATACTTTTACGTTTTTTATAAAATAAATCGAAAACTTGAATATCCATAATTTGGCATATTTCGTAGATTTTGTAGCAAAGCGCTTGTTTTTACGTTTTTTACGCTTTGCAATCGATTAGCATTTGCGTTTGAAAGCTTCCGGAAAAATCTAATTATTCAATGTAACAACGAAGTTAAGACACATGAATATAAAATTATTTATTTAATAATGTAAATGGAAATTTAATTTTAAATTTTTCCGATCATTATATGAAAATATAATATACATGGTATATATATATATTGACGAATAAAATTCAAAAAACTGAGAAGATACATATTCTAATAAATAAGTTAATAATTATTTGTTTTTTTTTTTTTTTAAGAAAATTTCAGTACTATACTAATTATTAATAATTAAGAAATTAACCGCATATTTTAAGGTTTATTATTATGTTTTTAATTGCTACAAGTTCTGAATTCTGCTTATAAATAATAAGTAATGGTAGTCTTAACGTATTTACTTTTCATTACTTTTCCTATGAAACTCGTGTTCATTAATTGAGTTCTAACCGTTACGAAGCGATGATCGTAATGCACGTATTATTTTAAGCAAACAGTTATCGTATTTGTCTCATCACCAACAATACGTACTGTTGTGGGGTTAATTTTCAATGCAAATCTGTGTATACAAAATTATCTATTTTAGCCACTGCCTCACAACAGTGCATTTTTACCGAACGAATGGTTTATACTGTCAGTAGGATTTTTTTCTTATTATTTTTTTTTTTTTGTAAATTGTGTTTACGTGAAGTATTTTATTATTAACTTTCTGGTCCTAAAATGATTTTACTGAAATCAAACCCGTCAAGACCAACTCTCATTTACTTCTACGGTCTATATGCTTTCATATTAAGCGATTAAACATAAATAACTTTCTTCCGTTCTCTTAACCTTATTTGGCATTCATCACATGTACAAAATTTCATAGTTATTATCAACGTTTGTTCGCATTATAAAGTGGATAAAAGCATGACGTGGTTTACAATCGTGCATTTGCACATTATTACGTTTTATACGAGTCGAGATAAATGGAAAAAAACTTTCCCAAACCGTATAATTGACAATTATTTACCTGTAATATTATCATGAACATAAACAATTATCTACTTCAACGAACCACATTCGCTTTTGATTAATATTGAAACTAAAACATTTTTATACTTCCATAAGCATAAGCTTAAAATTGTGTAAAAGCTTTATACTTTTTTCAGCTGACGCTAACATTTTTCTGTTGTCTATTCTCTGTTACCTACTCCTGAACTCTGTTCATAGGATTTGCGACCGTCACAGATTATCCGAAAGTCTTTAAATGTCCAGGTGTGTACGTTTTGTTATATACAAATGATAATATAAATCCCATATTGTTATGTAATAAAGCCTATATTTTTCGTGAACATTTTTTACTCAACAAAATATGGTTTAACATTTCACATGTCTCATTGGAATATGATATTTAAGATTGGTTTTTAATAGTTTAGAATTTAAAACTTTTTAAATAAAGAAGACATATTTGCATATAATTTGAAACCCTTAAATTTATAGTGACAGCGAAAAATTAAGCAATTCCTCGGACGTTTCATCTTTTAATGTTTACAAATTATAAATACATAAAAATAATAAAATAATAATTATAAATATTATATATTATTCGTACAGCGAATGTTGTCTAATACGAGTGACGAGCATGGGTAATGTAATGTTGTCACTTTACGAGGTGCAAATAATTGATTTATTAACTTTCTGTGTTATTAACGACTCAAGGACTACAACTTGTAACTATACTCAGGAATAGCTTTTTGATGAGAATAACTTCCAGAAAGTATTATATTGTGCCCTGTTTGCATTATTCACAATATGTTCATCAAAAGAATCTTTTGATTGCATATTATGCCTACTATGATAGTAATATACGCACTCGTCGCTTGAAAGTTGTTATCGACTGCTAACACGTGATCCGCGACAATGTAAAGAAAAGCTTACAGATTACAATGATTTTCATTCAAAATTCATGAAAACTATTATCCACGAATCGAGCCCCGTATCCGCTTTCTGACGTGGTTAGTGGTATCTCGTACATTTGCATAAAGGATATAAATGATGGTCTTTTTTCAGCATTCTAACATTTTCCTATTACTCCAGAAAGTGTATATTATAAGGATTGCGCTCCAAGTGAATAAATTTTTTTTACAAGTATGTGGACACTACAGATTTGTTCATGCCTTCTAGTATTTTTCTTACTCACACATCTACTCATTAAATATAAAAACTCTCTGTTACCGAAATTGAATGCAAGTTAAATAAAAATGAATTTCGCGATATTTTATTGGTAGGAAATAACATCAACTTTTTTGTACATGAAAAAAAATGAATTCAAAAACTCCAAGCAAACAGCTTGTTTACGATGCTAACAAATCAAAATAAGTAAGTATATGACACGATGACACAACAGAAACACGAACATAGCTATCAGGGGTCTACATTGTAACAATGTGTTTACTTATCATTAATAATATATTGTAGATTAGTTTAACAATTATTTCATCAAAATCGATAACATTGGTTCACAGTTCTACGTTTGATTTATGATCCACACGCACATTTAACGTGGCACTATAGTACACGCAGATGTCGAAAACCATACTAAAAAGAATTCCAATAGCTATATATCCATTGGCTAGTGGAATTTCTATCAAACAGATATCATTTCACTGTGGTGTCAATGGGAAAAATAAAAACGATGACACATACAAAAGTCCTTTAAAGCCGAGGATTTGACATGGGTCAATCGATCAAAATAATAACATTGAAAACCAAAATGAATCAATCGGAACGAATACGATAATTGAATAATGTTCGAAACCACCGGAAAAATTAAATTGTATTGTTACGAATAAGAAATTAACAAACCGCGAACGCATAATATAATATTATTGTTAGGTACACCGTTTTACGAACAAATGAGCGTTCGACGTTGTTCGATATGTTACTATAATAGCATTTAAGGACGTGAACTCACCCGCTGATTTCGCCCATTTGTTGCACTGGAATTCGAAATCCGGTTAAATCGGACACGGGTGGACTGTATTTAATTATTTTTAAAACGTTACTATAGAGTTATATGCGTCCGGGACGCACGTTCGCACTTGTTATATGAACGATCAATCGAAATCCAAAACAAATCATGGAAACATTCGTATGAGTCGTTGATCGGTGTTACAATAACGAAATCGGAACGAACAACCGAAGTCCGAGAAAAACATACGTGAACCGCGATAGCGCAACTAACAAGCGTCGTTGTACTGTGGCGAGGTTTGTACAATACGTCAGTCTTGATGTTGAGCGTACAAACACGACGTGCACATTGAATGACCGGTTCGAAACCGTCTCTTATATATGCTAGCGCTCGACCACGTTATCGGAAGATTATGATTTAATGAAAATAATAATAACGTTAAAACGATAATAATATTATAATGATAGTAACGAGTAGACGTCCGAGCGATTGTAGATGACAGGGCGCTTCGGGTATTGAACGAGGACCGATAAATGCACAACACTCGTACATTATTATGTTCATGGAACGTGCGAACACACACGATTACATATTATATTTTTTGTTTTTGACCTCTATAACTTGTGTATTATTATAAGCGAACCGGACGTACTGTTTTCTGTTACTACGCATATTATTATTAATATTATTAATACTACTAATGCTACTACAATTGTTATTAATATTATTTTATTCGTATTCGGTCGAGTATCGGTTTGGTTTAACAAACTATTTCAACTTTCTTGCCAATAGTTTAGATCAATTTATTTTTTGTGCTAAATTCATTACGAGATTTCAACCAAACTTTACAGAAAACTTACATAGGTTATATAAATACTAAAGAAAAAATCAAACATTTTATATTTTCTTATGTTCTTAGTGAGCATGTCATTAGACGCAAGTAGTTTTACTTGTAGCTCAGGCAACATAATCACTTATAATCGTTAACGTCAATGCATTTAAATATGTATTTCATTTACAATAATACTCAAAGATATTTATAACATCGATATGTATGATAATTGTAATGATTAGGTGATAAATAAAGAAAATACTAATGTGCATTACAAAGAGAGCTTAAGATAAGTAAGTAAAAATTAACGTTGCGCAAATTTTAGTTAAGACATATGAATATCTTAAGTGCTACACGCCAGATGTAATAGTAAGAATGTAAACACAATTACAGTTAAATATAATATATTGTAATACGATTTTAATTTGAAAGTACAACATTTGAACACATTGGCTGAGCACATGTCATTAAAAGTTAAATTTTACGTTCATAAGTTAGAAATTTGAAAGAAAAAACGACATATACTTTTAATTTCTTAAAAAGTATTTATAATGCTTAAGTAAAAAGTAAGTTTCATAAAATTGAAAAAATATTAAACGTACGTTTTTTGCTATAGAAAAACAAAAATATATATCAAAAATATTAAAAGGACTAATAAAAAAATTATTCACTTTAAAAAAATATATAAGTTAATGCATATTTAATAATAGTTCTTAATGTTCTCACAAATTAAAATTGAAATTAATAATGACATACAATTATTAAACTAAAATAGAGTATTCTTATAAGATTTATTTACAAAATAATTTATATTATTTTACTTAAAACAGTGTAAAAAAATACAAAAAATTATTTTTTTTTACATTTTAATCTATGTAACATAATAATAAAAAAATATTGAATACTTACTTACGAAAAAATTAACCAAAATCTAAAAGGTACCAATATAAAAATGGGTATTATAAACTCAATATAATTATTTGATTTCAATAATCAGTAATTTTCAACTTTCAAGAAGACACTACTACTACGCATATTACATTGTCACCATATTACAAACGTACTAGAAAAAATCTTCTGTTGTTATCTTTAATATTAAATTAAACTGGTATATTAGCAATTTTTTTTTTAATTTAATTAGAAACCCGTTTATGATGATAATCAAAAGACTAGTGAAAATTGGTCATAATACCCAAAGATCATTATAAACAAAATTATGAAACATTCAAAATGTACTTAAATACTTTTTAAAAAGAGATTTGTTTTTTTTTTTTTGAAAACTTATTTTTACTATGTACAATTCCACAAATAAATAGAAATAATCTATAATAACAGGAGTCAAGAAAAAACTGATTTATGTAAAAATTATTAATGGTAATTTGAATGTATCAATCAATCATACATTTTACCCAATATGCAACTTTAACTTAATTTAATTATTATAATTTTTAACATTAAAATTAAAATTTATTATGCTCAAATAATTTACTCAATCAATGCGTGATCATAAAGATTTAGTTTTGTTTTATTTTATTTAAAATAATTAATTTATAAACATAATATCATAGAGAATAAAAATAGATATAAAATAATATATTTTACATCACACTAAGTTAAACTAAATTAAATTAAAATATGAATATAAATTTATTAAATGTTAATTTACCAAAAATCTAATTAAATATAATTTAAAATATCTCATTAGAATCATTCAATTGGTATTTCTTTTGTGAAACTTCATTCTACCTAAAACGTATTTTTTTGCAATGAGTAATAACCAGAAATATTAAATCGTGTTTTTTTTCCTTCCTTACACTTATGAAATAATTTTATTAAATGACAATATATTATATTGTTATTAAAAATATTAATAAAACCAGAAACTACCATAATAATACTAATATTAAAGTTACTTTAGTGCCTCATAAAATACTAATTCGAATATTTCAAGTATTATTATTATTCTTCAACATTTTTACAATATCACTTCAATGTTACACAGCTGTGAGAATTTTATTCTTCATAACTAACACAAACATCCAAAATTAAATATTATAATATACAAGCTCACATAAGTTTATTCAATATTATATTATCCTATTTCTTTGCAGCAATAGACGAGTAAGTGGCCAAATTTCAAATATACAAACTACTTCATTAGCAATTTTACTATCAACTAAATGTTTAGTGTTTAACTTAATCTTTTGTAATCCAACTTTATACAATTAAGGTCAATTAGAATAATAGTGAGTGGAGCAGTCAAAATGGGAGTTACCCGTTTCCGCCAAAATAATATTGACCGTTTCCGCCATACCTCTTTTCCGCCAAAAACGTAAAAGGTACAATTCCCATTTTCGCCAAAAAAAGTTTGGAAACCATTGGTTTTAATTTTTAAGCAATATTGAATATATGTTATGGTATGCGTAAAAGACATTTGTAACGTATACACTGATAATCTTCGATAATTGTTGATATTCGTCAATAATAACGGTTAATAATTAAGGGTACACTGTTCGATATACTGTATCATAGTTTATTTATAACATATCTTAGAAAACTATATTGATGAAAATTCAAAATTTCCGCCTAGTATGTGGGATTCACATAGAGAGACATTACACAAAACATCCAACAATCATTTAAATTAAATATTTTTTAAGGCACACTCATCACTTTTTACATTTTTACAAACACTTAAAGACAAGGCCGTATTTGAAGGAAGTCCAGGGTATCTGCCCCCCCCCCCCCCGAAATGTCTTCAATATTTTACAAATGTTTAAAATACTTATTTATTTTTAATAACAATATAATTTTTTTGTCAAAAATGACCTTAACTCCAATTAATAATTGACTGCTTTTAATTTTATATATATTTATTTAATTTTAATAAAAGAAGATTAAATCTTTTTCTGTCTTATTTTAAACCAAACATCAAAAGTTAAAATCTAAATTCAATAAAATTACAATATACTTATGTTGGACCCCTCCCAAAAAGATTTCTAGATACAGCCTTGTTAAAAGATACGATATAGACAGATACTTATATTAAAATTAACAGTATTCAAAATAATATAAAAAAATTCCAATGAAATTAATAAAGAAACTTTTGTTAAAACTGTTTCTTTTAATTATAAGATTTTTAAAACCTGACCTGTACTTGTATTGCAATTTATATTTTTTGTGAAATTTTTAAATATTTAAAAATAATGATATGTGTTTTTTCAAAACTCTATCGAGACAATATTTGACCTATACTTATCTTATACTTTATAAAAGTCAAATGGACATATTTTAATATAAAATTATGTAATATTTTAAAAACTCTACCTAATATAATTGTACCTATATTCGACTTATATATTATTATTATCTACTTGTATTAAAATTTATAATGAAACAATATGTAACAATTGTACATGGTTTCCAAACGACTTTTCACAAAAATAAATTTTGGCAGAAACGGGAATCATACCTTTTTCGTTTCTGGCGAAATAGGACTACGCGTAAATCATGGAACAGGATTTTTGGCGGAAACGGGACATGTCCGTCTAAATTACGTTCCTTTCTATGATTTGTGATTCATTTATTATTTATAAAATTTGGGATTTTTTGGTTAATTTTGATTATTTTATCATTTTGATTATGAATATTCGCCACTAAAATGTTTGGAACCACTTTGCTTAAAATTAAATTTGTCACTTTATCAAGATATTGCAAAAATAATTTAAGTATTTGGACTAGTTAATGTAATTTCTTTAGATGAAATATTTGAAGAATTTACAATTATCAAGCCTGCTATACCAACTGTTAGCTTAAAAAATAATTTAACTGTTTATGAAAAATGATTAGAAAATTAGAACTTTTATCAATTCAGAAATTAAAAAATTTTTGAATATTAATAGAATTTATTCTAAGTATTCCACCATATAATTCTCATATATAGAGGGTTTTTTCGATGATGAAACTAAAATGGGCAGATGTTAGAAATCATTGTTCAGTGGACTTAATAAAAAATGAATTAAAGATAACACTGAATATATTGCCTTCCACAAATAGTTCCTAGTACTGATTTCGCGAACTTAGTGAAAGATGATACAGCTTTTTTGAATGTCGTGAAGAGTTCAGAAAAATACAATTGGAAAAATTAATAATTTATAATACTTTTTTTTTTATTAAAAATTCCGTATAAAATATTATATTATTATTATTATTTTATTAAACATTATGTTTGTTATACAATTTATAATAATAAAGTATATACATATAGAGAGCAAATATATCCGTATTATGTATTTATATCTTATATTATAATATGTTATGCCAGAAATGATTGCCTTTATAATATATTAAAACCTGAAAAAAATGTTCTCATATTGGAAAAAAGTCCCGATTTTTTTAACTGGATAGTAGGCAACCCTGGTATACGTATACCAAATTTAATTTTCAATGTATTATATGTTATTTTACATTCTTTTATAGTTTAATTGATATCTTATGAACTTGGAACTTAACGTGACTTTTTTCTCCTTTGGATTTTCTATACACTGATACAGTTTTTTTTTTATTATTATTTTATTTTATATGGTCCATTTTTAATATTTTAAATGTACAAAAAAGAAAAAAAAACAGGAAATCAAGAACACGAATAAAACAATAATAAATTATATCGGAAATAAACGAGGTACAAACGGATAACACAATAAATATAAATAACTCTGTGATAACGGTTTGTCAATGATAGAGTGGTAGGTGGCAGTACACATGGCAAACCACACTCACATTAGTACTCATTTACGACTAATACAAATATACCGGACATCGACGGCAAGATTACAAACTGCCTAAATTGTGCCCTTTATTAAATAGGTACGACCAGACCCTTTAACTGTAGTATCCAGTTACCTATGTTACGAGTGTTGAAATATTGCATTAAAAACATATATTTAATACGTTTGTAGTAATAAACACGTTATTCTAGTTGTTTAATTATGTGTTTATAATAGTATTTCTTAAACTTTTTTATCTACAAGACTCTTTTTTTAGGGCCGCTTTTATTGTGAAACTCTTACCTTTTTATTTAACTTTATAACTTTTTTCATTTAATTTTCAACAACTAGTTATTACAGCTTGACAATTAGAAATCCTACTTTGTTTCAATAGTTTTAATGCGTAATTTTATGTTAGGATTTTTTGCAATAAAAAATATAATAATATAATTTAATAATAATGTAATATGTAACATTATTATATTATTGTATTATTATTTGATATAATATACTGAATTTTATTCAAAAAATACTCGTACTTTAAATAACAAACAGGACTCCTAAACATAGGTGGGGATTGGGGGGTACTTAGAGGGGCTTAGCCCTCCTAAAAAGTTCGAAAGCCCTCCCAAAGTTATTAAATCGTTTTCATAGTATAAAATATTAAAATAGGTACTTATTTTACAATAATTACCAAAATCTTAAATTCTACATAATACATAGTACTTTTTTTTCCTAAATGTTATCAAATGTCAATATAATAATTATTATATATTGTACATCATTATATTTATACCTAATCGTCATCCATGCGCACTAGTTGACCATCGCGATGGATTGTTATCGCATTATAGCAATGATAAAAAAAAGAAATTTCCGATAATCAGACTTTGATAAACATTATTAATTTGCCCGATTGCCGATTTGACCATTTCGTTTTTCGTGTTGCTTGGTTCACTCTTGTAAATCCGAAATCGTATATTCGGTCGAATATAATATTAAAATATAAATGTTACCTACATGTATCATGTTGTACTTTTCGTTGTTGTTGTATTTGTATTTTGTAAAACTGTTTATAACTTTGTATAACTGTAACCTGTGGTACTTTAGTAATTTCATTAGTGTTTTAATTGTTTATTAAAATGTTGAATTTTTTTGAATTATTTAATATTTTAAAAAAAAAAAAAAAACCTAAAGAAACAGTAAAATCTGAAAACGTGTTGCCGACGAAAATCTCTGAAAAACTACAGAATACACTGACTCGTCATCAAATATTGATTTTGATTCTCGGCTTATAATTAGTGATATAAATGATTTGGGTAATATTAACTCTGGTCCATCACGTCTAATTATGAAGGTAGATATATGTATTACAGATAAATATTGGCAATATTGCTTAGCATATTTTATATTAAATTTATTTGCATGCAAAAACTAGATACAAATTACAGCTAGGTACTTAACCAGGGCCGTACTCAGACCAGTTTTCTCGGGTCATTTGTCCGGGGCCCAACCCTAAATCTATTTTTGAGGGGCCCGGGTATAAAAAAAAAACAACTTTTAAATCATAACTGACTCGGACCTACAAAAAAATTTACATTTTAACGGGCCTTTGCTGGAGCTTAGGTATCGGCCAATGGGTACTACCATTTTATTGAATTTTTATTCATATATTAATACTGTGTATCCGTGTATTATTGCAATGATAAATGATAGTTGCATCGAAAACATTCGAAACAACTCAATTATTAGAAAACCATTTAAAGCGACCGAATACCTAGTTTAAATATATGACATAAGGAGAAATTAAATTAAAATCTAGAAATCTGGTTTTAAAGTATCATAATGACTTACAAAAAGATTTAGTATATGAGTTACAAAGTCTTAATATATTTTATACTACTAACTTTGGACATAAACAACTAAACCCCTTAGAATTGCTGAATCACTTGCAAAAAACTAATCTTGCAAACATGTTCCCTAATTTATGTATTGCATTACGAATCTTTATTCCTGCAACTGTTGTGAGTGCGGAACAATTTTTCTCAACATTGAAGAAAGTGAAGAATATAATACGATCAACAATGACATAACAGGCTCTCAAACTTAGGTCTTTTTGCAGTGGAGGCTCAACTGGCAAAGACGATTGACATGGATGAGGCCATTGATGATTTCGCAGTGAGAAACGCAAGGAGAAAAACCCTAGGACTATTTTAAATTTAGCGTGATTAATTTTATAAGTTATGGTTATTAATATTACATTTAATATTATTATGTCGTTTTATATATTATCATTTATGTATTTGAGTATTTAAATTTTCTTTGAAAAAGTTTCAACACTGTTTAGATAAAATAAAACATATTAAAATAGCATGGTTGCTAATCAGGGACTGAGACCGGACCGAAAAGAAACGGTTACGGAACCTAAAACTTAGTGTAAATTAAAGAACCGAAAATAACCGTTACCCGTATTTCATATTTTTAATATATCCTAATCAATACCGAAACCTATAAATAATACCAAAAGAATACCGATTTTTTTAAGGGTTTTTTACTATTTTTAAATTCCTATTGAAATCGAAAGAAATTACTCTTTAAACTAAAGATATATTATTTAGAAACAATAATTACATATAATAATTTATATTATACAGTATTTACGCAATGTTATATTCGGCCGTCGACCAATGAATATAATATTATTTTCTAAGGAATATTAATATATATTATGTATATGTTACACGATAATGTCGATAACGGATCATTTCTGCGGACACATAAGTTATTTTTACAATTACAAAAATGACACTGGATTTTTTAAGTGTTTATTTTTATTACATATAATGTCAAACACAGTACAAACGCATATTGTATCATCGTTATTAGTTATTATCGAATATCGGTGCTCAGTGATGAATTTGCTATATTTGCTATTCAGTCACCGACGCATAAACACGCAGTCTACCTTTATTAGTTTAAAATTATCAAATTAAAATTATGGACCGTCATACCGTGTCCATAGGCGCCGACTTTTATATTTTAGTACAGGGGCAAATAAAATACTTATACTACTGTTCATGAATATTATTCCAATTCTCTTTATTGAGTTCAGATAAATGAAAATAAAAATAAAAATAAAAATTACATGGAAATACAATTTTTTTTCTAACTTAATTACAATAATTACATTACATTTTATGATAAAAATATTACTATCTAAAATTCTATTTATTTAAATTTAAAAGTATTTCTTCTTGTCATGCACTTATTTATGAACATATTTCCTATTTTGCTTAGGTCTAAAGATTCTGCTACTGTGTTATGACAATTTAGAAGTGCCAGATCATTTAACCTGGTCTGCGTCATGGTACTTCTGGTATAAGTGTTTAACCTCCTCAACATAGAAAAGGATTGTTCAGTAGTACATATAGTAACTGGTACTGTTGATATAAATTGTATGCATTTCCTGAGCTCTGTTAAATGAATGACTAAATACGATTTATTTTTAAATATATTTAATATATCTGCGAATGATGAAACAATTAATCCTTGGCCTTTAATTATATCATGAAATATATCTCTGTGAATTTTTAGCTTATCAATATTTATATCATCCTTGTAAAATGTACATATTGTTTGGGGTGATATTTTTGGATCAATTAAAAGCGTTTCCACATTACATAAAAATGATCGAATTTCAGAGTTAAATCTTAGTTGTAAGCCAGAAAGTATATGATCAATGATTTCTTTATATATTTGATTATATTTACTTTCAGGTGAAAATTCAAAGGACTTAGTTACTCCGTCTTTATATTTTTGAGGATTTTTTCGTTTTCTTGTTTTCTTGATTCTTTTGGTACATTTAATTTTAAATCTGACCATTCTTTATTTGCAGATTTCCATAAAATGTGAAGTGTATCTCTAAAGTATTCAAAATTTGAACACAAAGTTTAAAATCTAATGATTTACTTTGCAATACTGTATTTGTTGTCTCCATGTGTTTAAAAATACTAATCACTATTTTAAGCATTATATAAGTATCTGTAATTTTTAATTGTTTAAAAAAATCCATTTACCTTAGAACCTGCATCGTTGTGTTCAGTATTTGAAAAATCTGACAAATTCGTCAATAGCTCATTGTAGTTATCCATAACAGAGCACAGAGAAGTATATCGTAACGTCCATCTTGTAGGACAAAATGGTCTTAGAGAGGTCATATTTTCGTATTTTTGATTAATTTCAAACCAAGATAATCTCTTAGGTGATTGTTTAATGAATGTAATTAATTATCTTATAAAATTTAGTATGTCTCTAACATTTTTTACATTTCGCATACTATCTTGGGTAACCAGATTTAAAGAATGAGCTTGACAGTGAACAAACAATGCTCTTGGTTCAATTTCTTTTATTTTAGCTTGTAATCCTTTATGAATTCCAGAAACATTACTAGCACTATCAAAACATTGTCCTCTAATATTATAAAAATGTAATTCCAATATCTTTTACAATTTTTAAAAGAGTATCAGAATCTGTTTCGTAAAAACCCATAAAATATTCTTCGATTTCCAACGATTCATTGTCCACTGTTCTTAAACAAAATGAAATTTGTTGATTGACAGTAATATCACTAGTTTCGTCTAATAAAACGGGGGCAACGCTCACGTTAAAATTAAAGTACAGGAGCAATTGTCCCCGTTTCCCTCGTGTAGTTGGCGCCTATGACCGTGTCATGCGTTTATAAATATTTTTTTTTACGATAAGAAATCCAACGAGTCAGTTTGTAAAAGTTGCAATAGAAAAATAACAGTAAGTAGTTACACATTTTTGTTTCGTTTAATTTTAATTTAAGTTTAAAATCATTGACAAAAGAATTAAAATAATATGGTAATAAAATGGTAGATAACTATATAATATTCAAGTAAATAGACAAGACAACATTATCTTTATAGTTTATATCCATACCATCAACTATAATAGTGCAGTCTTGAGTAATTTATTCAGGTCCTAATCGCTATTATGTTAAAAATACCCAATGTGAATATTATGTGATTATCTACAAAATAAAAAATAGTGCCTATGATTTTACCATTTTACTCTTCTTGTGTAGCTCTGAAGCAGATTACTTATTAAAAGTTTAAATAATATTTATTTTGATTAATTTAGTTTGTATATTGTATTTCTTAAATATTTATATTTTGAAAATCTAATTGATATAGATAGATAATCAGATATTATATGAATATTTATAAATATGTACCTATAATTTTAAAAAGAAAAGCATGGAACAAATTTGAAAAGGTACCTGAGTTTCCACCAGGGTATATATGAGGAGGTGCTGGTTAAAGATACAGAAATAAAAATATTTACCCAAACTAACACATCTGTTTTCAAAGCACATGAGAAACTCTTTTATTTTTTTATGTCCGAGGTTAAAATTAACATTAATATGAACACTTAATCAGCACCTGCAAATACTAAACAATATTATACAATATATATTCTTGTATTAAAATTTCTAGTTTGAAAAAATATTGTACAAAAATAAAGGTTAGAAACCGATTGAAACTGAAACCTACCTAAATTTTAAAACTCGAAATTTACCCGAAACCCCTAAAAAAATATTTTAAAACCCCAAACCCTTACCTAAACCGTTGAAATCATTAAGGTCTCAGTCCCTGGTTGCAATAATATTTGATGTTAAAATAATTTAATCATTAGTTTTATACATAATTAGACAAGTTTTCTCTACAAAAACCAAGAAAACCCCTTTGAAAAATAAGGATCCTAGAAAGTTTAGTTTGTCCGGGACTTGCTAAAGCTGAGTACCACCCTTTACTTAACATTAACAAATTACAATTAAACTTTGATCATAAATAATTAGAAACCTAATGAGTAATTATTAATATATAAATATAATTTTTACATTTTACTATTGCAATATTGCATACTTGCTGTTATTGGTACTATTAAGGTATATAGAGGCATAGAGTGACTATAGTGACTACTACTTTTAAATTATGTTCCAGTCTTATCCAATGACAACATTTGGTCAACAGAACCGTAGTTTTAATGGATCATATTACTAAGAATATTATTAAGAAAAAGGAAAGAATTAAATGATCTTAAAAATTTCACACAGAACCTACACAAAGTAACGTACAGACAACTGAAGATTTCTACAGAATAAATGCGTACTTTGTGATTCTTGACACACTACCTAGTTACAAAATTAAAAGATTTTCGAATGATAGTTTTCAAATGGGCATATCTGTTGATAATTTTTTTCAATTAAAATTTGAAGAAAGTCAATGTTTTATTGATCATAATCAATTAAATCTTAAGTTCCTAGTTTTATGATAAAAGTCATTAGTAAATTTTAACTGTTTTCAGGGAATACAGGATTTATCAAAAATCAATATTCAGTCAGAGATGACCATAGCAAAAAACAGCATCTTGCAATCAGGAAATGAAATAAATTATGAAACAATAAAACAAAATATTTCTAAAAGTATGTTTCCCAACTTATACAAACTACTACAAGTATCCATAATAATACCAATCAGCTCGGCTACATGTGAACAAACTTTTTCTGCAATGCGCAAAGTTAAAACATGGTTAAGTATGAGTATGCTGCAAGAAAAAATGAATTACTCTTAAATATTATACATTGATAAAGATATCAATATCAGTATTAATAACTTTATTGATATATTTGCTAATAAAAATAGGTTTATTGTAATAGAATAATAAAATATTTATTGTATTATAAATTAATGATTTTTAAATTGCATAATATATAGTTAGTAAAGCGTATTTAGTAGTTTTGTAATTTAGTAATTGAATGCGTACTGAAGAGTGAAAGTAATATTGATATTAGAGTGGTAACGTGGGGGCAAATCTCCATGGCTTATTTTGCAAAGAAACAATTATGCCCCCCCCCCAAAAAAAATATTAGATTCGACATCAAGTCTGTTCGGTATATTGTTTTTGTTGATATGTATGTTCATTGAGAACCCCATTTCCCACATATAAGTGGTTGCAAACGGTAAAAAGTCCAAAAATGCTTTTTATGAACGTTAAAGATATTCATAACCAAATAGTATTTTTATCAACGAAGTTCAAGTATTACAAATATTATTTCTGTATACTGTATAAACCTTAAAGTGTACATTATAGAAGTAAATACTACACCGTATACAATTTTAATTTTAAATGCAAATATATTTTTCTTCATTAACCGCTGCTAATCTTTAATAAAAATATTTAACGTAATTTTCTTAAAAATTTTGAAAAAAAAAAATTTAATTTCGCAGAAATCTGGAGTTCCATGGAACAGTTTCGGAAATTTTGATCTATAATATTACTGGTTACAAAAATCAGAAATTAAAAATAAAAATTTCCAAGAAACAGATAATACTATGTAAGTATGAATTACAATATTCAAGTTGTTTAAAATAAACTAAAGTTGCAACTTGTAAGACGTTTATAATTCTACCACAACAGAAAATTATGAATTTAGATTATAATATTTTTCTTATCAAGCCACCCAACTGAAAATGACAAAAATAAATGTAATTGATCATAATTATTTTAAATTCTAATTGAAATTGCTAATAATTATATATGAATTTTATGAATTTCTCATACCCATCTAGTTTTAATTAGTAATAATATTTCAGCAGGGGAATACCATCATAGTTTTATTATATTTCGTTAATTTGAAAATAATTTTATAAAAAAAAATTTATTTTCAATAATGATACATTTATATATTCATGAGTACTATAAGGTTTACTATTACTAACAATCTATTTGATTATTTTTTTATTAATAATTAAAAGAATAAAGTTTTCATGATTAAATTATAATTATTATGATATAACAATTAAAATTAATTTTAATTATTATGATATAACAATTAAAATTAATTTTCCAAAAATAGTAATATTTACATTTTAACAATTGCTTTATAATTATTTAAAGAGTTAGTAGAATGAAAATTTTCTATAGGAATTAAAAATTTCCCACGCGTAGATAAGTCATATGTATACTATAAAATATAATGAAAATATTTAAATATTTTTCTAGTGATATATTAAATTTATATATTATATTATTATATTTTTCCATCAAAAAAATGTTTATTGTTTATTAATTTTTCAATAAACCATTTATCTCTTATATGGATTTTCAATAAATTTTCTTTAATGCAATTTGAATAAAAATGGAGAAACTGCATAGAACTAAAATTTAAACTGTATCAATGACATGTTAATTTAGCTTATAGGCAAACAAGATAAATAATCTTTGTCTAAAATTTTTCAAAGGTACATATGAAAATAATACAAAAAATTACCCTTATTAATCGAGCACTCAGTGCTATCAACTCTTATAGTGTATTACTCTTTAGATGATGCACACTATTCCGATATGTATATGAAATGAATGGATTTAAAAAATGACAAAAAATTATATTTTAGGTCCCGACACATACAATCAATCTTTATGTTTTTTTTATAAAATATCTTATTCGACATTTTTTTATAGGTATTAACTTTTACATTTTCTATAAATTGAAATATATCCTCGATAAAGACATATAAGTATAATAGTACATCGTCATTCACTTTAATATAATAATAATAATGAATATTTGATAGAAATGTATATTATAATTTTCAGCAAAAAAAAAAAAAAACCAAAAATTATGAATCTTTTAATGAAAACTATATTATTTACTATAATAATAATTATAATTAGGATAATATTAATTTAAATAGTAATTAAACAATGACTAAATGGAATTGATAAAATAGTAATTAATAATAGTATTTTTAGTTAGGTACAAGAAATAATTAGAGATTACAATTTATCAGACATTA